ATTTAAGACATTTTTACTCATTTTGAGATAATTTTTGCAGTGTTGGAGATTTTTTTTTTTTTTTTTTTATGAAAACAGAGTGAAAAAGAAAAAGTAACAGCACACAATAAAAATGATACCACATTCACAATTGATTATTGAATCTAATTTTGCATCAAACCAGTATAAAATTTGACATAGAGCCTTGGTTGACAGAGACGTGACCGGAGTGAATGTTCCCAGCAATCAGTTTGTTCATCTGTCATTCGAACAAACGGCAAATTAACAGCTTTGATTTCTAATTATCTTTCACTCACTGCTGTGTCAGCTGCTCATGCTGAGAGCTCATGCTGACAGACCTTTCTGATCCTCTTGTTTTCTGAAAACTTTTTTTTTGGGGGGGGTTAAATGTGGACAGACATTTTTACTAATGATCCCAGCCAGCACAAAGGAAAGTAATGTTGGTATTCTGGCAGTATATGTACAGCGGTGGTGAGACAAGTGATCTAATCTATTGCCTACTCCTATACTACATGACCTTGAGCAGCGATCCTCCCAGGGATGTTGTATGTTTTACCCACCTGACATTAGGTCACTGTACTTCTACATATAAAGTTAACATCATGGTGCATTGAATACAACATTTTTCTAAATGACTATCTAGCACCACGGACAGCATCATCCTAGAGGTCAGGTTCTAAATAAGCATTGGCTGATAATGTGCAGCCTATGCTTAATAGGCTGCAAATTAAGCATAGCCTTAATGTGTGACATTTTCAAAAAAAAATCTTTTTAAAGATTAATTTAATCACCTCTTATTGCATTTTAATAGTTGCAGATAAAAAAATTACTTTAGTTCTATTTTGATTGTGTCACGTACCAGGCGCATCAAAGTGAAGGAATACTTCGGTACCCTTGGAGGGGCTCTCCGGAGTATGGAGCCTGGAGCCCTTTACCAGGTGCCATCTGGCCACTGTATGTACAAATGGGGCAGGAGTTTGATCTCCATGGCTTGCATTAAATCTGAGCTATTCTTGCTACATGTCGGACTCCAGCAGGACTGCCATCTGTCAAAGGTCCTGTTTATATTCTTAATGGACAGGATTTCTAGATGCAGCCAAGAGGTTCTGGTTTGGGAACCAGTGGATTTTGTATCTGCTTTTTGCGTGGTTCTGCTGGTTCCCTCCTATCAAGACCTACAGCATGCACTGTGGTGGTCAGCAGCTGCATTTGAAGCAGTTGGGATAAGAATCCGCTATTCTGGTTCTCAACTAGAAAAAGACGGGTTTTCCCTTTTAGGTCGGAGTGTTACTGCCTCAAGTGGAGTAGTTCAGTATCTTGGGGTCCTTTTCACTAGTGAGGGAGAAAGGAGCGGGAGATGTTGGAGATATATGGATCTGTGTGGCTGCTGCTGCAAACATATGCAGACCCAGCACTGGTCTGTTGAGGTAAAGAGAGAGCTGAATGAAAAGGCAAAGCTCTCGATTTACAGGTCGGTCTACGTTCCTACCCTCACCTACAATCCCAATCTGGATCATGAGCGATAGAATAAGATCCTGGACACAAGTGGCTGAAATCAGCTTTATCCACAGGGTGGCTGGGCTCTCCCTTAAAGATAGATTGAGGAGCTTTGCCATCAGGGAGAGGATTGGAGTAGTGCCTCAGTCTTCCCCCAGCAGAGCTAGAGAAGGTGTCTTCAGACGGGAAGAGTTTGCTGCCCCTGCAGCCCGGTCCCCGGTAACAGGAAGATATGACGATAGTTTTCTTACTTGTTTGAAAACTATAATAATCAACATACACTTTCTACACATCAGACTGCAGGGGGTAATCATAGAAATCAACACCAAAATTGGAGAATACATTTGTAACTAGCTTGAGTGCTGAATTCAATGCTCAAGTATTAGTTTTGTTTAGTCTGCAGACTTTATGTATGGCAGTCAATTTATACATGTTTGCTTCACTTTTTTAGTCTTCTGTAGAACTGTATAGGTCAGGGGTCGGCAACCCGCTGCTCCAGAGCTTCATGAGGCTCTTTGATGCCCCCCTTGCAGATGTATTTGTTTCTTTGAATTAATATGGTGTTCTGGAGGTCAAACCAACAGGTATTACGATATCCAACGATGTAAACATTTGTATGATATGATATGACATTTAAACAATAAGTTTAAACATTTCTGTCAAAAAAAAGATTTATGACGCAAATCTTATTTTTTAAATGTGTGTCTTGGGCCATGGATTCCATGGAAGGCATGCTAAAATTGCAGCAGACCACCCAGGAGTGAGAGAAAAAGTGCGTTTGCAGAACTTCTGGATAAATTACAGGTGCGCAAAGATAGATTTTCGAAGTGAGTTACATCTCCAAACTCCATTACTGCTGCTAGTTTTGTTGCAAGCAGGGAAAACTGTTTGCATATCAAACAGCTCTTATGCAGGTATGTGAACTTTCTTCCCTTTTTTCCCCAAAATCCTCAAAATAAAAATAACACCAAAAATCCAATTCCTTTATTGTATTTCTATAAGTTTAACAATGCAACAAAACCTAATACATTAATATTGGAATGGAATTTAAACTCAAAGATCTTACATGAATCATGAATGCTTATTATATGATTAAGCCCATGAAGTCATTTAGTCAGTTTGATAGTGGACTAATGTACTTAGAGTCCGTGTTTCCTTATGAGTCTTAAATAAGACTCAAAAGGAAGAGGCAGATTTGTTTTTTTCGGCCAATATGGCTCTTTGAACAGTTTCGGTTGACAACCCCTGGTATAGGTCAAATGTCAAATTAATGGTAAAGAGCATTTGGAAATTGTTTCTCATGACAGTAAATGTTATAATCCAAAAAAAAAAAACTTAAAAAAAAATGTTTAAAGAAGTGCATAAATGTAATTTTGTAGGTCACTGTATGTTGTCCTAAGTGGTAATACCAAACTCCCATAGAAGCATTTAAAGAATAACTGCGTAGCTCAGGAAAGGACACAAAACTGTTGGAAAAAAAGTTATCAGTTTATTTCGAATTTTAAAATCCACCAAAGGGTTATACATAGTCTGTATTTATTCCCACTTAGAACAATGGTAACAAAACAAAGACAAAAAAAGAAAAAACAACAGTAAATAATTCTCTGAAGTCTTTTTGTTGCTGTTTTTTATGTCTAGACCAACATTTTTGTCCTCCAGTTAGGTTTCATTTTTACCAAAAGGGTGAACGGACTTCTGGCAGAGTCTAAAGAAACCCAGAACAGAGGAACTGAGGAAATGAGGGGAGAATGCCATCTTTCAACAAAGGGCAGTCCCTCAGATTTGTCCAACATTTCTTTTTTTCAGACCAAGTAACAGCAGCCTAATATTTGACCAGTTTGGTACACAATTGGTTCTGTATTTTCATTCCTCAGGGTAAACTAGAGAAATGTTTGCAGTTTGTGTTCTTCCACCTCATCACCCATTTGTCTGAGTTTCTCACACCCCCTCTTATCCAGTCTTACACTCCCTCTTGCTCTCCAAGCAGGTCTGTGTTGTTGCTGTTTTGAGGAGGAGGAGGAATACGAAGGGGGGATTGAGATGGGGGGCTGTGGCGTAGCCGCCTTGGACTGGTGCCCCCTCCACCCTCACTGTCTGTGTTGGATGAGGACGGTGGTGGGGGTGGAGGTAGCCTAGGCAGGGGGGCAGATAAGGGTGGTATTCTTGTTGTTGATGATGAACCCAAACTACTGCCTGATCTCAGGCTCTGGATCCTTCTGCACTCCTGGCAGATCCTCACGTGGCTGCAGCTGCGAGAGGGCGCTATCACTGGCGTGGGTGCCGGTGGAGGCGGGGTAGTGTTTGCTCCAAGGGGATCATCTAGGATCCTTTGGGGCCCAGGGCCCAGATCGGGCAGTCCTGTCCCTCCTGCTCCACCAGTCAGGGGGCCAGCTCCGCTGTACAGCTTCCCATTGCTGAGCCGCATCTCTCGGACCAGGCGCAGCGGCCGGGGGGCTCCAAGAGCAATGCGGGTGGGATGTCGTAAGGCCGCAGAACTGCTCAGTTGTCGTCTGCGGCGCAGCCGGGAGCTCTTCTTACAAGAGACGGCGTTTCTGAACTCGGTGATCATCTCTTGACAAACAGACACCTAATGGAGAAAAGAAAGGGAGGAGGAAAGAAGGACAGGAAAAAGGGAAGGAAGCAAAGGAAGGGGAGGTGCCACAGACACAAAGTAGGCAGGCAGCACAACAGGACAGTGGTAAGGCAATACAGAAATAAAGCAGAAGAAAATAAATTATAAGATTTAAACGTAAATAAAAAATAAGTACAAAAGGGAGGAGGCAGCACCAAAGCAGAAAAAAACACAGTGGGTGTAGCAAAAAAAAATAGGAGTCGCAGGTGACAAGAAAACACACATCGACAAAATGGAAAGATGTATTAAAACAGAAACAGAGAGGTGATGGGGAAGATATGGAGATGGATAGAGATGGGAGGATAGCAAAGAGAGTTATTACAGTCTAAACACACAGAACATCAAAATGTTCTTTAGCAGATGAACACTTTATTATGGCACAATGAACAAACAGGCAGCCTGCAAACTCTGATGGACATAAGCAATCTGACACAAAGACAAACACTATTTAAATCCACAAACTTCTTTCATCCTTCAAAAAACAGAACTACTGTTATTTGAACACATGACAAGGAAATGGATGAACAAACACCTGCATTTCAGTAAGTATATAATTGAAACTTTATTTCAGTAATTTAATTCAAAAAGTGAGAAGCATGTTACCGTCTTTTAAATGTTTAAATGTTAAGTCTCAATCTTATACTGAGGTAAAAAAAAAAAAAAAAAAATATATATATATATATATATATATATATATATATATATATTTAACAGCAGGTAGTTTAGCTTGTGTTCCACAACCATGGAAAGCTGGCTTGTCGGTAAGTAAGAGTCATTGACAACCCCCAACCGCTATGTATTATCATCTGTTCCCAGAGTACTATGACAGAGCATTTTAAAATCAAAGAAAAGTTAAGTGGAAGGAAAAGGTTTGCAGAAAAAAAGTATTTAACAAGTAGGGATAACTCGGCTTTGAGAGGATTTCTAAAGAAATCCAGGTTTGCATGGACATAGACTTCAGGTGGAGCATCTGCTTAAAGAAGCACCGCAGTAAAGGCTGAGGATGGGTCAAAATGCAGAGAACAAATTTCCCCATTGTGGGATAAGAAATTGATTTTAATTTACTTTAAATATTTTGGGGTCCATTTTTATGGATGCATAAGAAATGGGTACCTGTGCACAGCAAATGGGACAAAGTTAAATATGTGATTGTCATTAGTTGATGCAATAAAGGAGACTCTGAAAGAGGTGAAGTACATCAGAGAAAACACATCTTTATCAAAATAATTTCCAAAGCTGTCTAACCTGCTTCATGGGCCAATGACTGGTTCGCTTCCATGAATGAGTTTTCCATTAGAGAGGGCTATGAGTGGAAAAAGTTGGTTAGCTGAGGTATTTACTTTTAACTATTTTCATGACACGTCATAATTGCTGCCACAGCTTCACCCTCATGATTCTATGTAAGCTATTTATAGCTATAGATACGAGAAATTATAATTAACGATTTTAATAGGTAAAAGCAGACTTAAAAACAGGACTATTATGACCCACAGTTTGAAATATCTTATTCCGACCTAGTCTTTATGTTTTTGTTCGATAATTTCAAAGAAATATGAACACTTGATTTCCGGCAGTGAGGTTCTTTTGCTAACCAAATGGAAACCTGGTGGTGCAGCGGGTACTAATGTTGTCCCTCTAAAATGGGTCCTTGTTCAAAACCATGATTACACTGGGGATAATCATGGTCCCTATAGATCAGTGATCTCCAACCCTGGTCCTCAAGATCTACTGTCCTACAGATTTTAGATGCATTCCCTGCTTCAACACAGCTGAATCAAATGATTGATTGCCTTTTCAAGCCATTCATTTGATTCAGCTGTGTTGAAGCAGGGATGCATCTAAAATCTGTAGGACAGTAGATCTTGAGGACCAGGGTTGGAGACCACTGCTATAGATAATCTATGAGGGTATTCCAGGAATCAGGACACCCGAACATCAGTGCAAATGAGCAAATATCTGTATCAGTCTTTTTCTTTCGATTTATATCAGGAGTGTTCAATTCCAGTCCTTGAGAGCCACAATTCTGCAACTGTTGGATGTATTCCAACACACTGGATAATTACCGCTTCAGCATGCTATTCAGCTTTACAGAGGCCTCGTAATTCCCCATTTATTTGATTCTGGTTATCAGTCAAGGGGGGCATCTACTGTAAAGGTTGCAGGATAGTAGCTCTGAAGGACTGAAATCCTGCTTTATGTACAAATCAGGTTTTCAGAGAAACTGAAATTCAGATTTTGTTTGAAAGCATAATTACAAAAAATCAGCAGAGTTAAATCCTTGAATTATACTCCTCATCTTTGTCAGTGAACTAAGACACAACATGACTTTCACTTTTTGAATTGAAATAATGAAATTATTTTGACTGTTTTAATTTATTGTGGTGAACCTGCATACACTGTAGACAATAACTGTTATGATGATAAAAGGTCATGTGCTCACATAAACAGAAACAGTACTCGTTCTTGGAGAACAGACACTGATGATCGAATGAGAGGGGATGCATGTGTTTCAGAGAGATAGAATAGACGCACAGTGAGATGGGTGAGAAGTAATTCAGTAATGGAAACGAAGAATACCAGCGTACATGTGAGGCATGTAAAAGAAGATACATCATGACATTTAATGCCAGGGAAAAAAGATCACTCTACTTCTTCAAGCAAGCAAATATTGGCATTTCTCAATATTGCTTATCTGATCTAATAGATTTAGCTCACAAACACTTGCCACCACATGGTTAAACACCAAACACTTAAAGGGCACAGCCACACAAACACAGGCAAGGACATGCAGCATATTTTCTTTTTCTGCTTAAATCATTTTTGTTCCAGGGTTGCATACTTGTACATTCCTTTTATAATATCAACACATAACACTGAAAGGTTCGAGAGAAAACACGAGGACAAACAAAATAAAGACAGAAGCCGAAAAATAAAATCTGCTAATTTCTTCCACGCCACACAGCACACAGAAAACATCATCATAAGGGCTGGCAGGTCGCCATGAGAACCTACTGGGGTGTGTCTGCGGGGTCGGCGAGGGCAGGTATGAGGGCATACCTCATCAGTCTCTGCCGAGCGGCGCGTCGACCACACAAACTCCATAATGGCCACAAAAACGGCGATGATGAGGCCACAGATCAGCACCACGAAGATGCCTCCTATGTTCTCCATGCCCAGACCTAAGGCAGGCCACAGGATACAGAACATGTTCAGGTTTCACGCTTCATTTCATTCTTCTTCCTCTTAATCAATTTTAACTGGGGCTGAGGTTTTGTAATTTGTAATTGAGTCTATTGGGCTGAGTTTACAAATGGGAAGACTTAATCCATATAAATAATAAGAATTCCTAAAGCTTTACAAGTACAATGGAACAGAATTCCCTCTATAATACAGAAAGCTTTCCTGATTTTCATCTGAATATCATCAGAGGATCAATCTTTCCTTTTTAAACTAGTTTTTTTTTTGTTGTCTGCATAACCAATTATTTGGTTTTCAGATTACTGTTGTACTCCATGCATGGTTATACAGTAAACTAAACATTCTACACTGCATAGTCTTATATTGTTTGTTTCCTTGAATATTAAATATAAAGTTTTATTTAAATCCAGCATGTCCAAAGTCTGTCCTCCAGTGCTGCTTCCCTGCAAGGTTTAGAGGTTTCCCTGCTCCAGCACAGCTGATTTGCATTGATAGCTGATTAACAGGCTTTTGCTGAACTACAGAATAATCAGAATCAGCTGTGCTGAGGCAGGGAAACATTGAAAACTTTGTACAGTAGAACAGCAATAGACATGCCTGATTTAAATAGTGATTGATATAAATTATTTGAAAACAAAAATCAAAGCCTTGGAGCAAATAACTAATAATGTTTTCAGACACTTAAGAAATGATACCAATACCATATGTCATGAAGCATGAAGGGTAACATAAAACAAGAGTTAGTTTCACTAACTAATATAACAGAACTAATCTATGACATCAAAGTATAATTGGAATCAAAATTTATAATAATTTAGAAATCACAGTTTGAACTCTTACAATGTTTCGAAGAATTATGGTGAAGATGACTCATATATTGCCAAGCTTGAAGTTTAATTTAACATTTATGTATTTCTGAAGACCTTGTAATTACAATCTACTTCAACTTATTTTGGTTCTGTTCCCCTCCTAAGCCAGTCAGCTCATCCAAAATATGAGGCATTGTGACCATTTATTAAACCAATATACCTGGAAATGACTTTTGCCATTCATAAGAATTTATAGGAGTTAGATAGCTGTACAGTAGATTATCCAGTAAGATTTCCTGACAGATCAGCAATCTCAATGTACAGACGCAAACTTAAAAGCAATTTAAAGAGCAGCATTGAGAGTATTTTTTTAGTATAGACCTTTAACTCTAAGTGGTGATTAAACATTTATATTTGGAGAAAAGGTAAAATTACACTGTTGAAAGAAGAGTTGCTAGGAAACAGCCTTTTTTTTTGTACTGAAATAATTAAAGAAATGATTCCAAAGCAGATTCTTTAAAACTGTTATAGCATCTTGTTGAATTTGACACAGCATGCACTATAAGAAGAAAACCTCCGTGAGACAGAAGATTCACACTTTAACCTGGAGATTTAGAAAAAATTTACATTTCCGAACTCCAAATTTTTCAAAACTTTAAACTTGCTTGTTCGTTTTATTTTTCATTAGATCTTGCCCAGACATCCTCTACCCATTAAAGTGAAGTGTTTAGTTTTTTTTTTTTTTATCAGCAAAAAAACTGCAAGCAGCACAATGGTGATCCCAGAAGGTGAAGATGATGCACCAGAAAAATGAGAAGGAATTGGAAAAAAAAAGTGCTACTTGTAATGGCTGTAAACATAAGTTTACCTTTACTAAAAAACAGAAAAAACACCAAATCAAAAAGGAGCAGTTTCCTTTTGTGGTGTCTGTTAAACAATTTGTTTTTCTTTATTTTTAGGACTTCTTGCTTGCTTTGACCAGGTCTGGTGTCATTTATTTTTATTTTCTTTTGTTGGTGTATTGCGAGTTTCAAAGTGTCAGTTTTCTCGTCCTTTAAAATAGGTTCTGTTCTGTTGATTAATTTTCTGTAAAATGCTCCTGGTCAATCACATGAAAAAAAATCAAGGATTTTTCCGATCCAAGCTTCAGCTACTTTAACACCCTGCCCATGCTGACATGGAAGTTCACCAAAAAACAGTTCATGGAAAAAAGGTTTTCACTGAAAAAAAATTGCTTCAAAAAATTCTCAAGTATCAGGGCATTTCACTTAGACGGATTTATTTTGTATACACAAGTGTATACAAAAATACATTTTGTTTAAAAACAGCTCTAGACAATTTAATTTTTTTTAAGTGTAGCCTTGAAAACAGTAATAAATACATAAAAAAGTAATATAAACATATGTCTGTATATTTACAGTTCTAACATTCATTTTTTTTAAATATAAAATAACCCACTTTACTTAACATTCAGCAGTCTCATGGCAGTGGGGAAGAAACTAAATTTAAACTTAGTTAAGTTCAATTTATAAATCAAATTTATGCATTCCTGCTTTTCTTATATTGAGACTGTTTTCTTCAAAATAAAGCTTAAATAAAATAGTTTTGATAATAACTCCACAATGGTGGGTCTAAATTATATCCCTTTCAAAAACAATGGTATTGCATCATTTTGAATATATGGAACCAGAAAACCTGAGGATGTTTGTTGTTTAGCTGCAAGTTAAAAACTGTTTCTGTGTTTTCTGGTTTATTTGCAATTAAGTGGGATCTGTCTCCTGAAGATGGATTTTCATAACACGTTAAAAAAAATCCTGCAAGAAGCCCAACAATTAACAAGACAAAAATGTATAGGAGGTTCTTCAAAAGTTCCTGTTAATATGTCCAATTGTTACTAGTCTGACAATCAATTAAAATTGAAATAGATGTTTAAACTCAGATATATCCATTTTGAGGGGTTTTATAGAGGTATTTCTAGCATAAATTCTTAATGAATGAACTTTATGGATAAAAACTGTTGTCTTTGTTAGAGATTTTACAAACACTAATATTGTTAAGCAAGTGAGAACAGTTTCATAATCTGCTGTTTTTGCTTTTATAACCTCAATTCATAATTGCAGACCCTCTACAGGAGGGTTGAATGAGTCTGACAGGAAATGCAGTTATCCTTCATTATGCAACGTGTGCTAGGCTTTTAAAAAGCTTGAACCATGGTTGGCACTAATTTCTGAGTCTCTGCAGCTTTACTCATCTTCACTGTTTTTACAAGATATGTTGGCCTGTCTCAATTATGTTTCAGCCTTTTAAAATACAATTTGTTTGAGGAAAACTAAAAACCATTTGGCCCATTAACACAATTCAAGAAGCCTTGATATGACAGTGCATAGTTTCCTATTTTTAACCAGGTTGATGTGTATAAAAGATAAACTCCTCTACACCAGGTAGGGCTTTTAACAAACACACTTCAAACTCCAGCACTGCATTGTTTTGATGCCCTTTATGTTGACATTAGGGGAGAAGTCAGCCATTAGCTGCAGTTTAGCAGAGAGTTAGCAAACTATTACTGAGTACATCAGAGATGATAAGGCTGCAAAGAAGGAAGGCAGCTCACCCTTGGCACGGTGATCCTCCTCTTTGGGACACTGGCTTCCCTCCCACCACCTTCTCTTTAGTATCTCCAGCCTGTTATTCTCATGCAGCTGGAGGATGGCCTGCGTGATCTCTTCTCTGAACGGAGATCCTGGCAGATGACAAGAAGGCAAGATAAGAGCTGGCATTGGAAAGGTGCACCACAAGGAACAGGGGCTATTTCAGAAAGGAGACAGAATAGAAACCAAATGAGAGCAGACTGAGGAGCAAACGAAAGAAAGATCATTGCTGTGTTCAGCTTTGGAGTGGATACAAGTGATCTTGTGTCGAGTATAGAAGACGATTAGAGAGATAAACAACGGGATTAAACCCAGAGATGGAGACAGTTGCAGCTCAAATATAAATCAAAGTGTGTTTCAAGGCAGATCTGTTAGAAAGGAATAGGAGGATTTAAGGAGTAAATTGCAAGTATTAAGGGATGATTTAATCTAAAAAAACATTCTTAAGAAAAGAAACTGACAGCTGTTTAAGCAGTTTAATGTTAAGTATGGATTAGAAAATGGAAGCAGTTTAATAATCAAAGTTAAAACTACAGATAAATGAAATACATTTAAAACCTACTTTTCTTAAAGTAAAAAGCAAATACTGAGAGTTGCAGCATTGCTTTGGACTATTCGCTCAATATGTTCTGATGCCATGTTTAATTCGAAAACAAATAACCAAGGGAAATGTGCTTTATTGCTGTTTTTTAAGTCTTTAAATAACCACATGATTGCTCATTATTCCAAAATCCCTTTTGTGTTAAGTCCTTACAAACTCACCATCTCCCTGAATATCTTATTTATTGCAATTGTTATGTAAGAACCATAAAGTGTTTTATTACCATTTATATAATAAGCCAAGACAAATTTAAAGAAAAGAATTTAAGTTTTTTCAGTTTCTTTCTTCTTTTTTTTTATTAGAAATGTGATGAGTAGCATTCATTTATGTTCTTGAGCCTTTGTTGGATAATTGGCAAAACCATCTTTGCCTTCATATTTTAGGGTTGATACCACATTAAATGAATACAACGTTCCCCTACTCATCATTTCCAAACTCCCACCTTAGTTAGATTGAGGAACGTCTGTGAACATTTTTTTTCAGGTCTTGACACAGACTCTAAATTGAATTGGATTTGAACCTCAACTAGATCATCCTTGACATTAATATACTTTATAAAAGAGGTTGTGTTTTATATTTATTGTTATTGTTTGGGGGAATGTCCTCTATTGACCTATAGTTTTAAGACCTTTGCAGCATTAAACAAGTTTCACTCCATGATTACTTAGTCAGCTTCACATCTACTGTGACCAGCTTAGGTAAGGTATCTATATAGAAAGCATGACATTGTCTCATTGTCATTAGGGTGTCATTCTTCACACAGATACACACAGCAGTGTATTGTGTATTGTTTTTTCTAACATAGCATTTTTTTTTTTACATTCTTGCAGAACAGAGCAAGGAAGGCACATCTAATGAGTTGTCAACAAAATGCCGCACCTGAGCTGCGGATCTCTAGAGATTTCCCAGAGAGACTATAGGGCCACTTGGCTGCTTCCCTGATCAATGCTTTTCATGTCCTTCCTGCCCATTTATTGAAATGTTTTGTCTCTGTGAGTTTGACATCATGCCAAATACTTTCCTGCCTGGTAATGAATTAATAGTGTCAATCATGTCTTGGCAGGTTTGCAGCTGTGCCAGCCCTTTACATTTTTCTATGGTAAAATAAAAAATTCTCTGTGACATGGTTAAAGCTTGATGATGTTTTATAACCTAAGAGCCACAGCTTTCTCTTGATCTGTCTGCTGTGTTCTTTGAGTTTAATGATGCTGTTTATTCACCAGGTTTAATCATTCTAAAAAAAATAGATCTTTGTAGAATTATGATCTACATATTCTAAGGGTTGCACTTCATTTCATTTAAGAATATTTTAGAGAAGGGCTCAACACAATTTTAGGATCTGTACATTTTTGTGTTTATGTCTACAAAATAACACCCCCCCAATAAACTACATAATAATATAATATTGAAGCTTCAAGATTTGCATTAAAAAGCCTGAAAGAGGGTAGTTTTTGCAAGGCTGTGCCGTCTGTTCATTCTTTTTCAGCAGAATATAAAAATCCTTCTTCTATTTTTTCGTAATTCTTCTGCACATCCCTCTCTTAACTTCCTTGATCCATAACAGAAAGTCCATCCAAGACTGGACCCCTCATTAAAACAGACCAATGAATCGGTGACACTACTACCATGGGCTAAACAGTGAAAAAAGCTTTAAATAGAGCTGCCCGTGAGTTGAAAAGCAATTAACTTTCTGTTCATTACTTCCACTTCAAATACTTTCTAATCCCCCAGATAAAAAAATAAATCAACACAAGCCTTTTTTCCTGATCTAATCTAAAAAGTAAGCAACAAGTCCATGTGTCTGTTTAGCGTAACTGATCTTAGCAGCTGTTTCTGCCTCTCTTAAAGGCAATAACTTCTTGTTTTTTTATTGGTAAAGTTTAAGGCATTATGTGTGAGATTAATCCCTGTCAGGCACGTTCTATAACACGCTGCTCTTTGTTGGAAATGTTCAGTCACTCTGTGCCACTTCCTCTGCAGCTGTTCACCGGTTCGGCAGATTATTCCCCACTCCGTTTCTCAGAGAGTTCACTGGGGCTATAGGTGACCTACTTTACTCTCAACTGTAAATAGCTCCCAGATAAATGACTGAGTCTTTGGCTGATTCAAGATAGCAGAAGTTCATAACTTCTCTGAGGAAAGGCAACCCTGAGATATATTACATAGAATGTCATTGTGGAACTGTGCAAAATAAAAAAAAGGTCACAGCAGAGCTCAACTTGAACATTTCAGGATGTCCATTTGTCGTCTCAATAATCACTGTGATTCTAACGTTTACTCATCCCAGTTAAAATGCAGCCTTTGTTTTTGTATGAATATAAATACAAAGAAAAATCATGTTAGAGGATTTTCCAATAATTACGTGACGCTTACCTGTAAAACTCAACTAAATTTTTGTTTTTTTTTTCCAGAAAGGATGTTGTGGTTGCACTTTGCCCACATCCTTCTATATTTTGGAAGCACCAGTGCTCATAATTAACCACCTGTCACAGTCTTGGTTCTGTTACTGTATGTTTTCTTTTGAGTATTCATTCCGTAAAAATTCAAAAAATATCCACTGGACTTGGTTTCCAAGATTTGAAGACAGCACATCACTCTAAACTGATAGAAAGACATGAAGAAAACTAATCAGACAGAGTGCCAAGACACTTACAGCGACATTAGAGCAGCTATGTATTGCCTGATACAACAGCCACTGGTACTGTTTCTATTGATCTGATGAATAAAGACATCTAAGCTTGATAAAGGTTTGCAAAAAACCATTTGAAGTTTCTTAAAAGCATGTATGAAAAGAATTATGCCTGAACATTTTAATATAGTTCCAAACTGTATGTTTGGCAGGAAAACAGCCCCAAACACTGCACTCACAGCAAAGCATGGGGATAGGGGCATAACTTTCTATGACTGTTTTTATTAAACTATAGCTCTAATCAAAGGTGTATAAAGCAACATAAATAGTTCAAACTCTCAGCGGATGGTGTAAAATCCTTTTTAGCCTTTCATTAAAACAGGATCAGGAAGAGCAACTTCCATCACTGTTATCATCAAATCAACAAAAAGCTGCCTTCACCTGAAGGATTTAAGGCAGAGTTTACTCAGCCAGACCCAGGATCTGAATTTAATTGCAAATTTGAGCGATGATCCAAAAGAGGCCCACAAAAAAATATGTTTCTGAATTTAATAGATTTAGAGTTTTTTGCAAAGACAGAAAGATGTGTTTCTCTTTAAGGGTATTCAAACTTGGACGGTGTCATCATATTTTAGTTTATACGTCCTCTGTTCAGAGAAAAGAACACTAAAATAATGAAGCTGAAGAAAAGTCTCACTTTAACCATGAACTGTTGGTTTGTCTCTTTAGTGTATTTTTGATTGAAATATTCTTTTTCTATATTACTCACTAAGTTTTTATGTTACTCATGATGGGTAGAGTAGTCAGAAATTTAGCTCAAAAGTAGCAATAACTCATCATATTTGTACGCATGTCAAAGTAAAAAGTGCAAGTGTATAAAGTGCAATCCAATAAAACTACAGAGAAAATAATTTAGTTGAGGAACCCTTTTTTTTTCAAAAGGCCCAGTAAATATAACTGAGTAAATGTATCTAGTTACTACCCAACTCTGCTTCTCTTTTGCCTCTAAAAGAAGTAAGCTTTTAATTGCAATTTTAATGGGGGTGCTATTCTTGTATTTATTTGTTTTTATAAGTGTATTCTCTTTCTTTGTCAATTAGAGCTTTGGGTTCCTTTCTTCAGACTTCCTATGGTAGTAGTATAACTGCTTTTTACTGTCTAGAGAGCAGTGTGTCTAACAGACATGCAATTATGTTTCTTTTTGCATCTATGCGTTAAAAATAATTTAAATGAAAGATGATATTGCAAAACTATCCCAAAAATCACACCGAAGTAAAAAGGTTTTGATTCCCGACCAAACCAGAATAAATATACCAGGATTTTTGCAAGCAGAAGATATTAATAAAAGAAAAAAATTTCTTTATACAGTAGTAGATGGTAAATAATATGAATCATCCTTTGTCCATGAGTGTATGAATTGCTCCCAAGATGGGGAAGAATTGATTTCAAATCAGTACCAAACATCGTATGACAAGCTGCTCATTTTTAAACCCAAACAAAGTCTAAACAAAACAGCTAAAGCATGAAATTACTTTCAAGGCCAATAAAGAATGTACATGCCAAAAACAATTGAAAAGGTAGCTTTCTCTTCCACGATCTAAATTAAATGTTTCATTTTTATGTCTATTGGTCCCTAAAGCTTTGAAATTCCTGACAACATTTCTATTTAAATGCAGTTTGTTTGAAATGTTTTACCACTTTGTTTTGTATTTTTTGCTTTACAAACTGTGGCACAGACACTGCAAAACTCTGCAAGGTTAAAAAGTAGAGTTCTAAGGTTGTCTTGTATTGCTTTGAAAATTTATTTCAATACATGACTGTCATCGGTCTAATCAGTGACGGGTGTCTATGACCTTTAAGCC